TACCAACTCTTTAAAATTGCCTGTAAACTGGCATCATAAACATATATATATATATATAACGATGTTTTAACCAACTCAGTTGTGGCATCACAATGTGCGCAGAAAGGATTAGCCGGGGGCCAAGAGCCGTATTTATCGTCGAGGGTTTAACACGGACTTCATTGACCCGCATAATCGCCGCTAAAATCCGAGTATAGGGTTTGCCCACAACTCTCAAGAGTGAACGTCCCTGAAGTCAAGCGTTATAGCTGTGAAAGCGAGGTTTATTTTCATCTATGGCATGGATTAGCTCTTAACAGTTAAGTCGAGACTATATTATTGTTATTTGACGCAGTAGCCGCACCCAAAAGCCGGAACTAATAGTCCATAAACATTTCTGAAGTATATGAAGAGGACAGTTTATTTTTTTATTTTATATTTTCCAGCCTTTTACTATCTTGAGCATAGTTCGCATAGCAGCGATTGGTGCACAAAAAAACGGAACTAACTTTGGCCAAAAGGCTTGTAGAAAAAAAAACAGTTGGAGCTTCACACAGAAAAAAGGACCCAAAAGATGCTTTAAAAAAAAGGAGAGTAAGTGGTGTTTTCGGTTGCAATAGAGGCTGAAACTCCAGTACAGCTTCATCAGAAAGGCAGTATTTTAAAAAAGAGAGATTTATTTAATTGCATTACTATGTATAATCACAACAGAGCTCTTATGTTAGGTCTGTACACGTGTTGCAGTTGGTAAATTTTGGCGTCTGTTGCATTTTTAAACAATTAATTAGAATCTCCTCCAGGGACCTGCCCATTAAGTCCTATGACAACAATTAAAGATGAAAAATTTCTACAAACAACTGACGTCTATAAGCGACTTCTTCGCCGTTCAAAATCAAGCCTTTGAAGAAAATGCAATTAACCCAATCGTGAAGAATTAATGACCTGGGTGTTACGGTAGGCTGTAGTACAACATACGTTTTACCACTTGGACTACGAAGCTACACAGAAGGTCTTGAATTTAATAACACACTTGGTTCGATCTACCCACCCAGCCTACGACGCGTTTGGAATCCGCTAATCAGTAAGCAGACTGGCCTGGGATGATTTCCTTAACAATTATCTAGAATTCGCTAGAATTACTACTAGGTATACTTGATTACTAAGGGGGTTTGCGAATTTAAATAATTAAATTGGCCGTAAAAAAATAAAATAGCTTGTGCACATCAAAGAGAAATAGAAGAAAATAGTTTTTGTTAAACGCCAAGTTACCAAATTTATGAACTTACTGCTCACAAAAGACTGCGGCCGTTTAACAGAAAACGGAATAAATAGCGTAAGAGAACATTATGACGTCATGCTGTACCTTGCTAAATGAGAAAAACCTCCATTTACCACAACGCCAACGAAAAGCCCATAGTTTTGTCCAAATGCAATTTGTTTTGCATATGAAAAGTGAACGGTATGGCCATGAATTAAGGTAAGTCGGGGCTTAGCTACGCATCGGTAATGCTCGACTTTTTTACTCCTATTTTTCTGCACCTAAACAAGCACCGGTCATTTAGGTAGGTCATTCCCCTTCAAAATATCACATTGCACCTTCAAACCTCAATAACGGATTACGTGTATGGGGTTTTGGAAAGGCTGACGAAATTGCACTAGATGGTTCATTCTTGAAAACAGTACTTTTCCGGAAATATGCTCTGGACTTACAGTGCTTATCGTGCGGTCTATCAAACACCGCCATAGGTTTTAGAAAACCTTAGTTGGTGGCGACTGTCAAGTGGCCTTCTGATGGTAAGATACCTACCGCAGGTTATTTCGAATGTTTATGAATGTATTTTATAAAAAAAATATTTGAAAATAAAAGGACATTAAAAATAAATGAGTCAAATACATAGTCTATTAGTAGTCATTTTTTGCAGAAGGTAATTATTTTATGTTATCGGAAGGAAATTCTTTAACAAGCCGACCTCCTAACGTTACTGAAATGACGTGCGTCTAGGCTGCTTGATAATCAATGATCCACTCCGACTTAGTACCGGTTTGCGAGCAATTGTTAATCTTTCGCAAACTTCTGAATTCTGCGTGAAAATACGGGCAGCATTTTATTCTCAGTTCATTTCAATCAGGCCAGGATGTCGTGTCTAATGCACACTTCTTTCTCGCTGCATGCCATGAACAATAAATGTATGCTTCTATAGTATACAGTTTCCCCTTGGGTGTCAATGCACTCTTAAACTCAACCCATTTGCACAAACATTCCTTCTTACCTCGTTCGGTATAAAAAGTACGTCTGCAATAACTTTTATACCGGAAGTAAGTGTATCCTCCGGTTTAAACGGACTAAAGTTTCATATAATGATGGTCCCTATGGACCGTTACACTTGGATCAAATATTAACCAAATACATAGCGTATACATCCAATTTGAGAGAAACCGTATTAATCTGCGCTCTTCGGAAGTGATCACATAATGGAAATTTAATAAGCAGAGGATTTCGATATGCGTGTATAACTTATAGGCAGCATGTTGAAAGAATTAAGGCGCATAGCATGTATTTTGAAAAAGCTTTTCGCTGTCTTTACATATCGCAAAATTACAAAACTTATTAAAACGGACAAAACCTCTCTTCAAGGATAACATTTTATCAAACAAGAACAAGAAACATGGCTTTTTTGCTGGCTTTCTATAGAGTAACTCTTAATTTAGAAGATTACTTAAAGTCACTGAGAAAACTCCAGACAACTGAGCTATCCCGATTTTATTGAATGTGTTTTTTACGCCCTCGGTCATCCTGGCGTGACGGATATACGTTCATATTTATCCACACAAAGACTTACATTAGATAATCGCTTTGATTTTAATAAAATCGTTGAAATACTGCCAAATAGAGGCCTGCTGGACATTGGACTAGGTGGGCCACCAGACCAAACAACTTGAAGAGCCAAATAATATTGCCGGCAAAGACAAGGGAAAATTGAATGGCCACTTCTGGTTTATCAGCCGTCGTTAGGCTCAGCCACTAAATACCGAGGCTCGAATTCGCGAATTTTCGATCAGAAGTATAACGCACCAGCCATTGAGCCATGAGTTCGAGCTTGTCTTTTCCGGCAATATTATTCGCCTTTACTACTAGCTGATAAGGCTGCTGTCCGCCCCGAGAAATGAGGCTCCAGGCAAAAATGGAGTGGAACGTTCGGTGAACACTCACCATTTTGAAGAGTATCTATCAAAGTTACGAAGTATAACTAAATCACTCACGAACCCCAAAAAGTAAACTATAAAGAGGCCGATCAGGTACAGCAGAAAACAAATAAAATGTTAAATTCCGACCAAGTCAGTGCGTTCTTGGACTTTCTGTATGGTACCGTAATTGTAACGTTTTCGCAAGGCTGAAGCAGTCAAGTCCACTTAATTATCATTCATAGTCTACAGCGTATTCTTCTAGACATACATCCTTGTCAAACCAGCTCTCTTGGTTGTAACAAGAGCTGGTGCTTTTTTGACACATTATCCTTGATTTGAAGTTTACGAAAACCCACGATTATTCAAATGTGTCCCGGGATCATAATACTGGAGAATATTGTTCTGAAAAAAACATGCGAATACATATTTGGTTATTTGTGGGTGCGTATTTATGGAATTGAAGTAGTTCTAAAAGGCATGAATTAATCTGAAAAAGTAACATATTTTATCGCAAAAGTTAGTTCCGTTACATGGCTGTAAGCCTAATCATTACAATCACAAAAATATCACTTCACTTACATTTGGCTCTGCACTGGGCATATTGTCTTCTCCTGTATAAACAACCGCGATATGTTGCCAGGTTTCTGGAGAGATCGATGCCGCATAAACTAACACGATTTCCTTGTAGGTAGCTGTTTCGGAGTCTTGCACTGCTCTCAAGACAACCTCAACGTGTTCCTCGTCCACAGCAACACTGAAACCATCTACGTTGTCACCTGAAAGCAAGGTACATTAAAGCGATTGTCATAATGAGAGGATAACATCAGTGAAACAATAAGTTTATGGGCCTGACGTTTCAAAATCATATTTAAATAAGTACCACTAGAGAGACACTATAGAAAAGGGTGACAAAGGCACAACTTGCGCCGTATTTGGCGTCCACCTGCCCATATATGTACTGCCATAATCATTCGTCCAAAAATCTCTATTTCTGTGATAGACATGACTTCACAGATTTTCTCAAATGCTGAGACTATATTTAAGGTCGTCCATTAATAAAATAAAAATCCAGAAATCTCAAGCCAAATCATTGGTTCAAATGGGACAAACAGCGTGAACATGACAGACAGTTTCGAATAGCGTATAGGTCTACCTCTCCTGGTTGACGAATTTATTCTCAAGCTCGAGCCATCTCAAATATGTGATCAGATCAATACGTTTACCCGCTAAAGACGCTCCGCTGATGACATTTTCGCGATTGCCGCAACCGGAAGCGATTTAGATACACTCCTAAATGCTGTCATTCAAGCACATCCGTCCTATGAGCTCACGTTCCAGGCGGAGATGAGAGGTTCATTTCTTCTCTTAGACGTCATCCTAAGACGAAGATCTCACAGTGGGGTCGGACGAGGCGTTTATTGAGAGGAAATTAAGTCTAGAAAATGGATAAAAATTGACAGTTTCCTACCCCTCCAACAGAAGCGAAATCTGGTTCACTGCTTAGTGTAGAGGACTAAACAAATTTACTCGGCAGAGAGTTATGAGGATAAGCTTAAGATAATACAGGACCTGCGTCGTGAGAACGGGTGCCCTGAGACATTTATTTAATCGAAACTAATAAAAGCCAGTACATACACTGTGGAAAATGAAAATACTATGCTTCAATTTCTCCTATCACGGGAATGCGGCAAATGGGCTCGTGAACTATCGCCTAGACCAAGCTGTGTCAATATTTCCCTCGCAGCAGGAGTTCGGGTATTATTCCTAACAAACCCGGTCTTACATGGGGAAGGTAGAGATAGGTTACCAGTTCATTATGCCTCCATCTTAATCTACTTCTTTATTTGTTCCTATGGAGCAGGTTAAATTGGTCGCACTAACCGGCGCCCATCCAAAAAATAAGGCATCACCTCCCAGTATGGATGAATCAAATTGAAACCAGGAGGGTAAATAACGCCATTCTGTCGCATATGGTCGATCCTAACCATTAGTTGGACTCCAAAGAAGCCTTCTGTGTGATTTTTAATGCCCCATTAAACTATCCCAAGTCCCGGGGTCATCGTTAGCAATAGCAGAAGCAACCACTATTCGGGTGACGAACCCTGTGTTTTGCGCGCACAGAACCTCCTGCAAGCTTTGACCTTTGCATGGCCAACGCTCACTTAAGTGACTGTATATTTTCCACGCTTGCCCTCTTCTCGTCCCTGGTTCAGGTTCAATGAAACCTCACTCCCGCGTAGCCGGCCACCTTATACCGACCCCAAACCCCTCCCTTAGTACCATGACTAATTTGCATGTAATGACGAAATTAGACTACAGCTTTACCGCTGACCACCCTTCCCATAAAAATGTTATGCCCCGTGGAGGATTTATCGAAATATGACGTATTCTCGCCCGCTGCTCTTCAGAAAATTAAAAATTGTATCGGTAGTTGGTTGCAGACTGACTAACCTTGTCCAGTTTCAAACCTTGATCGGATCCACAGAACTAGACTGCTTTACAAGACCTTCATCTGCCTCTGCCCTTCCACTTTGATCTTAAAACTTCTACGCGTTGCGCATCGGACATGCTCTGATAGCGCTACTGTTTCAAGACCATCCTTCTTCCTTACCCATGCAAATACCTTGAAGGCGAACGTTCTCCTTCATTCGTATTTCAAGAATTGTAATTTTCAATCTGGTCCGATTTTTTTTACATTTAAACTTTTTTTTTCATCTCTAAAGTGTTCAGGTTTGCTGAACAGTTAATGTTATCCGACGTGATAACTAGCGATGATGCTGATGATGAAGAAAGTTCAAGATTAAACGTCAATCGGCAAGATGAGTCACCCAATCACTAAGCCGATATATCACACTCCGCATCAAAATTTATGGCCATTCGTTCTGTGTGATAGAACGTTATTTAGGAGCGGTGGTTTGTAGCCGAATACCATATCACGCATTTCTAAAATCCGTTTCTAGGGTCGGAAATTTCGAAATTTTGAGTAATTTTATACTTTTCAGTACGTGAGTTGCGAGATTAGGAAAGCAGAGATGTTTGTGATAATTTTCTATTCCAAAGAAAAAGAGCTCGGTTGGTTTAAGTTGTGCACTCCGTCTCTTTTGCAAGTAGAGTATTTGTTCGTTAAAAGTATTATAAAAAGGGGATTGGATGATGTTGGAAACATTTAAAGTTAACCCGAAAAGTATAAGAACAAGAAGATTGTAATTTTTTAGGGTTATTATTCAGAGCTGTAGACATTTTGAAGAATAGGATTCCGTAGAATTAGATTTAATTGAGAAAGAATGTTATCCCATTCCTACCGTACAAACACAGTATGTATGGTGCAATATATGTGTTGTTTCCTAATCTGTATAGAGATCACGGGATTACATATTTTAAGAGGGCGTTCAAAAGTCAGATGTGCCTAGTGGCTCCCTAGTTAACTATCGAAAATACTCCCAGAGGGACTTGAAGTAGTTATAAGTAAGGTCATACAACTAAGACAAAAGGAGACCAAAATGACCATTGCTAGCTGTTTAGTTGTCCCCAGGCGACGGACTCGGGGCCAGAAAAATGTAAATATATCTGATCAAAAGCCACCAGACAGAGAGTCCTTGGCTCACTTGTCATACAGTCCAACCTTATAGCTCTCAAAGAATCCGTCTTCGAGACTCAGTAGAAGGTAATGCAATCGGTGGCATGACGTTATAGGTGTCGGCTAACCCATATGATCAGACATATTCTGATAAAGTTAAACGGCTAACGTGGAACGCTAATGAACAAGAACATGCAATAATCGTCCCATTTATCATTGTAAGGATCGTCTGATCCACATCGCCGGCTTTGCCGCTGCAAAATTCCAGCCATGTTCTTCCTTGAAATGAAGTCGGCAGAGCTAAGGTACGCATTTACATACCAAAATCTAAATACAGTAATGATGAGTAAAAAGCGACAACAACCTCTAAAATTTTGCAATCGGAAAATTGAAAATAAGTTGGCTCAAATTATTAATTTCTTCCGAAGCAAGACAAAGATTGCAGACACCTTTTTGACCCAGTTTGGGTGTGATATGAACAGTTTGCAGAACCGCGGATGGGACGTCCATCTAATATCGCGAAAAAAGCTGCAGAGCGAATACACTCAGGTTTTAAACTCCCCTCCAGCCTGAAGGTTTCATCGGACTTCTCGGGAATATAGTGGTGCCTTACTGTCAGGTTTCTATCAAGATTTAAATTGTCTACTACTGCAGACAATCAGATTTCCATCAAATACGACATACGGAATGCAGCCTAGAACTTGAATGTCAAATAATCACCCTCCTCTGACTCGAATGGCTGATGTCTAAGATCGAAGCCTCATTTCCGCATCTTTTTCGGAAATAAAGATGTCAGGTTGATAACTCTTCATCTTTCCAACCACAGTGCTTTGGTTAAAATTTTCGAATTTCTGCTTTTTTAGTTCTAAAAACAATATGGAAAATTGAGCATACCAATTGGCAGACTGGAGTACAGGAGGCTGTTTTTGGAGGTAAGATTTGCAGGGTAGACCCAGAAGAGCAGTGAGAATTGAGTTAAATAACCCTTGCTTATATCGCGCAGCACACGGAGGGCAGTCAAATTGAGGTGTTGGGTGCCGTCAAAACGGAAGTAAGTGTTGGCTGGGAGGTGCCTGTCGTCCTCATGTTTCTCATCACCGTCATTGTCGGTCACGAGACGGGGCCAGTTCTTCCGTCCTACAGCGTCCTCATAACGAATGATTGTCGGTAGCAGGTTGTGCCAGGACGTATTCTTCACAAAAACGCCTAAACATGTTGGAAAATAATAGAAAGAATGTAATTATACTACTAATTGCTCCAGAAAATCATCAACAGCCAACTGTTTCTTCTTTTCAGTAAAGCTGATATTCCGTTTATCGACAACATATACAAAGCAATCAAACCGGTAAGTACAAACTTGGGATTTTAACATATATATATATATGCATATTTTCAAGCTCACCGATTCGCGTTCATAGCCAAGCACAAGTAGTGCCCCACCCGAGGCTCAAATATACATACACCTGCGGAATTATAAACGAAAGCGACCTCTGAAGAGCATGGTTAAATCATCATCTGAGGTTTCGCGCTCGATCAGAGAAATACAAAGAACACGTTGTTTAAATAGTCCAGGATCTTTTGTCTTTGGTCATGTTAAATTGCCCTAATGGTGGCTAACGGCCTCGTGCGATGCTGCTAAATTTATCTTACGGTTGATAGAATTGACATCTGATTAGCAAACCCATCCTGCAATTCATAAGTAAACACCCCATTGGTCATTAGCAGTTGTGTCAGAACTCTATTCAAGTGGGTTCAAACGCACTATAGCGATAAGGACGGGAGAAAGGAGGAGAATAAATATGCACACTTCCTGCTCACACCTAATGGTTATCCACGGTCCTTTCTACGTGATTGCTGACGACAATCCACCCATGAGCGACCGAGCGACGTAAAACTGCAGTTTTGGCTGGCGATCCCCTATGTGCCGAATGTTTCAGAGGCAACTGCTCGAATCCTGAATCACTTGGTATTCAAATTTCCCATTAACCGGATTGAACTATCCAATAGCAGATAATGCGACCGAATAACCAAGTAAACTAAAGCATACCCTGCCAAAATTGTAGTGCAAGGTGTGTTGGTGGATTTTATAAACGCCTCTCTACATTGCTACATGAACATCCGAGGGCATTCAACCGCAAGGATGCCTTGTCACTGCTGACTGGACACAAAGAACAGGAGGAACACAGTTTTGCCTTCGGAGATGCGAAAGTCATCGGCCGATCCAACGACAAAATAGCTAGAATGCTGTTCGAAAGTGGATCCCCAGTAAACACAATCAATAAAAGCATTGACTTAAATCCGGCTTATTAGGCCCACCGTACCAGACTGCAGTCAACACAGGCGAGGCCCACGACGCCAACGAGCGATTTACAGCTTTATCAATGGCGATCACCACTGCAGAACGGAGCAAGAATTAGCCGCAGGTCGCACGACTGGCTACTATCATCAACCCACCGGCGAGCCCAAATAAGCGAACGGGCTTATCACGGGCAGCGACAGCGGAGCCACCCACGAGACTATGAGGGAGGGTCCCAAAGGAGCCACCCTAGCGTACACCATGGGCACGCAGACTCAGTGGCGATTACAACAGCCGTGCAGGCGAAAGGGAGGCATACGTGGTCATCTGCTGCTGCCCATGGAAGGACATACGGCAATCCACGACCAACATGATGACAAGGGTCCGTGCGTTAGGCTAAAGTCAAATTGCGCCTAGCAGGACGGTCAAGGTGCGGGCCTAAGCCGCGCCTGCTGATACGAGACAATCGCCAATACAAAACAAATCCTTACTCTGATGATGGAAACAAGCATGTTTTTGAAACTTTAGCAACAATAGAGTGCAGACCATGTATGCGCCTCCTTCATCTTCTTTGGTGGATGGGGAACGGGATATATATGTATTCACTCAGGAATGTCCGAACACCGATAGCCTTGCGAACTCAACAAAGTTCACGTGGTGGCTAGGGATCCCGAAACGGGTGCCCACCTGCCAGGCCGATGCCGGCCAAGTCATAATGGCGGAGAAGGATGACATCGCTTGGGAGTAACTTGATACAGAACTGTTTCAGGCTTAGTTGCCTTCATTCAGTCAAGCATAACCCTGAACACCAGCTGGGCCGGACCAGTTGCGCCATCTGTGAGTGCGTTTGTTTGTGTGGTCCGACCAGCTGGTGTTCAGGGTAATGCTTGGCAGAATGATGGCAAAAAAGTCCGAAACAGTTCTGTATCAAGTTACCCCCAAATGTTGTCATCCCTCTCTGTCATTTCTATATATTTAACCGATGATCTTCCAGGCCAAAAACGTAAAAACCGGACTAGTCAAAAATTCAAAATTGACTCTGTCCTTAAAACATGACAAGATAATCCTTATAAAACTGTAGGCTTCGCGCCTAGGAGACCTTTACGTCTGTTATTACTGACTTGTTGTTTTTATCTCCAGTTTTTAACATTTTCCACGAACGATGCGCAAGAATATACGTAGGCGCTCACCAACGTGTTGGGAGACGCACTTGTCCCGTCCTGCTCTGGCACTCTATCTCGAGCCCCGCCCGGATGCGAATCAAGTGGACTAGGAACACCCGCAAAATATCTTTGTTTTACCAAATCCCTGAAGTGTCAGGTTATTCTAAATGACTTTTTGTGTGTGTGTGTGTTTGTGTCTGTGTCCTCTGCCGAATCAGCAACTACCCGCGACAACCCATGCCTAATTAATGCGACGCTGTGAAAAAGATTTCGCAGACAACCAGATATGCCCGAAAGCGACATTTATGCGCTTAAACATAAAAGTTCGCTCACTCCGTCCACCCGCCAGCCCGTTGCAGCCTCCCTCCCTGTCCGCTTCGAGGAGAACGACACTGGCTTTCACGCATTCACCAAATATCGCCCAAATGCAGATTGGTAATAATGTGACAGAAAAGTGCGCATTTCCAAAAGTGGTTTGCTTAATCCCTCCGGTTTTATTTTGGGGTTAACTGGATGCGGCGAAACCTTTTTGTGTCAGTGTCTGCTGTTGCTCATTAAAATGGTCACACAGAATTAGTCGCAATTCTCTGGCTTCGATGTTTCTGAATAAGCGTCATATAGTTTTGCGAAATTTGTCGCATTAAAAGCCTAGACATAGAGTCCTCATTTTAATCTCATTATAGATGGGTATCTTTGTGGACTAATTAAAATTAAACATTATTTTTACTAATGCTTGACTGTTTTTGCCACCAAATAGAGAAATAGAAAAGTGTTAACAGCATTTTGATTTACCGCAGAAACTACTTGGGATGTGTTCAAAGCTGCCTATAGATAACCCAGTAGGAATATAGAAACGGAGCTGACAGAAGCACAAGAATAAGATCAAATCTTTGTATAAATTCGCCCGTTCTTTTGCAATCACCTGCTTAGAACAGAGCCAGGAAGTCATCCACTATGGTGTCAATTACTTCAGTATAAAGAGTAACGTGAGTTTTTTCATTTCCAGCCAAACTGCATCATTTAGCTTCAAATAAATTTAAAAAAACTTCCGAAATTGTGCATTTTTATGTAGCCTTCGATAAAGATAAGTTACAGAGATATGACTCAGGTGAACATCTAACTAAAGTGCGTTTTAACAGATACCCTATCATACGACGTCTCGGTTATTAAGATCAGGAATCACGATATCCAACTTCTGAGGCCAACCTTATTTTTGCCGTTTGCAGAAAGTTCTAAATATTGTCTGTTCTTAAGAACTTATATCCGAAAACTCACTTTTTGCGTTAAATGCCTTTTAATAGACGCGGTAAGGGTCCCGATATTAAACTTGAACAAAACCTAGATCTATAAAATAAAGCTTATAAATACAGAAATTCGTCGAAATGTTTTCAAAATTTGAAGGAGCATTTGTGAGTAATTGTAAAAAAATAGCCACAATATGTCTGAAATATTTTGATTAACGGAAATGTATTTTGAGGTAAAGAAAGTGGTAAGCTTATCCGTTTAGCATACAAAAAGATACGAATATATAGTTCTAATTTGTAACTATTTTGGCGTTTGAGGAATTGAGTGTAATTAAGCCATTTTCTTTTTCTTTTGAAGCAACTAGTACTTTTAATATTTCTTTTAAGTGACACATTTGCTCAAGGTTCTTCATTGTAATGTCTAGGTTTTCGAACATGCTTTACCGCTAGGTTCCCTTTTTGGCAATATCGTGATTCGCATCACTGCAACTATAATTGTTCATTGTTTATTAACTAAAATCTAAAAAAATATTTGTTTGCTAACGGGTGCTTAATTTTGCCACAAAAATGCAGAACAAAAACGTGTTGACTGGATTTTTCTTATTTATTTGGGACGTTAACAAAACTATCTATATATTACTGCGGAATAATGTAGAAGCGGAAAAGACGGAAAAATAAGACTAAGATTACAATTTTAGTATACATTCACCCGTTTTTTTTAATCGCCTGCTTAGAACAGAGCCAGGAAGTTATCCACAATTGTGAAAAATACTTCAGTATAAAGAGCAACGTGAGTTCCTTCATTTCCAGCCAAATCTTATCCTTACTCATCAGGCAAATTAATAAAACTTTCCATTTTCCTTCTGGAATAGCCTTCGATAAAGATAAGCTGCGTAGATATGCTTCATTTGAATATCTAGTTAATGTGCTTTTTAAGGGGTGACCTATCATAAGACGTCTTTTTTATTAATCTCAAGAGTAACGATATCCAACTTCTGGGGCCAACGTCCTTTTTGCCGTTTGCAGGAAATTCTAAACATGGCCTTCGGTCATCTTCATAAGAACTTATACTTAGAAACTCCCTTTTCCCGGTATGAAAATTGAACAGAACCTAGGTTTATAAAATAAAGCTTAAAAATACATAAATTGGTCGATATGTTTTCAGAATTTGAAGGACAAACTGTGAGTAATTGTAAAGAAATAACCACAATATGTGTAAAATATTTTGCTTAACAAAAATGTATTTTGGGGTAAAGAAATTTCTAAGCTTATCCATTCAGCATACAAAATGATGCAAATATATCGTTTTAATTTGTGACTATTTTGGCGTCTGAGGAATTAAGTGTAATTAAGCCATTTTTCTTTTTCTTGAAAAACAACTAGTACCTTTTATATTTCTTTTAAGGGAAAAATTTTCTCAAGGCTCTTTAGTATTACGTCTGAGTTTTCGAACATGCGTTAATGTCGGTTTGGCATTTTGTCCGACTTATCTGCCGTTCTGTAGTGAAGTATTTACTCATAATTGCGTGCATAGTCAAGGCGCACAATACGCTGATACTAGTCTCACTGGCAAGCAGTTTAGGAGTGGCCACAGTATTTGAGGCCTGAGTCTGCTTGCATGGGCGTCGCGCGCATTATGAAAAGTATTGAACAACAATGTTGGCCTAGTCTCGTGGGTGGCCGCATTTATGGGATACAGAGTGGTCTTGGGATTTTAATTTAGGGCTCCAACTAAAATTACCTTATACGGATTGCAAGGGAATTACTGTTATGTTCCTTTTATAGCAAAATTTGTTTTTAGCATCAGTGCAACTATAATTGCTCATTCGCCCCCTGTGCAAGTCTGAGAGCAAGAACCAAATTATGTCGCCCAGTTATCACTGTGAATGAGTAAACACAAGCGCAGTTGTATACGCACGCTATGCCGACAGGTATAAACCCAATGCAGCACGCCAGCTGTCAAACGGGACGAGACAGAGGTCCTCTGATAACTTTTCAGAGCAAACGGCTATCCACGAGCGTTTGTTGGACGGGCTCGAATGCCACCCAAACCGCGCACCGAAGAACCTTTCTTATCAAAGTCGTGGCGGAGCATCTCGTAGATGAAAGGCGTTTCAGAAGTTGTGGCTAAATTTATCGCGCCTCTTGGAATAGAGGTTGCCCACAAGCCTACCTGCACAATCCGACAACAAGTAATGCGGCCGAAAGACCTAATACCTAAACTGGAGAAGTCAGGCGTCGTATACCGACTTCAGTGCAGCTGCAGGACGTGCAATTTTGTTGGAGAAACCGATCGACAACTTCAAACGCGAATGCACGAACTAAAGTGGGCCGTGGAGAGGTAAGACCCAAACTCGGAGTTGGCAACCCATGCTGCAGCGATGGCGCACGACTTTATCTTTGACGCGGTCGACATGGAGGGCAGAGGTGATGATCACACATCAAGGCAAATTAAAGAGGCTTGGATGTCGACCGCCACATAAATTTACCGGTCCCCTATGTTGTTTTAAGGACCTTCTTATCCGGAGACGGACGCGTCATGGAACAAAGGGGGCCGGGAACAAGTCCAAGCATGAGGGGGGACGATGGACCGAACGCTCAGGAGGACAACACCAACGCACGCGAAATTAGCACGCGGACAGCCAACACCGCGGCAAGCGTGTTCATGCCGAAACAACTCGAGACACCACGCGAGGCGACGGGAAGAACATACAAGGGGCCGACACCAGAATATGCGACATGGCGATAGACAGGAGACCGACAGACGAGGAGACTGAAAACGCAGCGAGAGACACACGCAGTGCCTCAAACATGATAGGTAGAACAGGCATACGCAAGAATGGATGGCATAAAGAC